ATCATAACTGATAATCACTTGTTCAAAATTTTAAATCTTGGCCAGAATTATTATAATTCTGGCCGTATGATGTTACACGACATAAAATTTTTTAAAAATATCGATTTACCTACGATTTCGCCTAAAAATATCGATTTACATATGATCGATGCAAATCGATATTATTCCACGTCCCTGCTTTAGACGACCCCCGTTAGAAATGACGTGTATCACGGGACAAGTAATTGCATGTATTTTCTCGAACTTTCCTGCATATACTCAAAAATTTATGTATAACAAAAAAGACCCTTTTTTCTCAAATTCGAACTATCCTGTTTTTTCACATTTATTTTAAAAAGGTAATGTCTCAGTTAGCGAACCCTTTTATCTGCCTTGCGTTTTGAATTTTTTTTTCGGAAATGCTTGCTAAATTCTATCGAAGCAAAAGTGATCGGAAATGATTAAAAACTCACTAATTGGTCTTTTATCGCATCACGTGACTTAAGAGATTGGTTTTTTTTTCGCATATAACAGATCAAAACAAGATGCATCATTATTTCTTTCGCAGTCCTTCGGAATGGAATATTGAGGATTTTCTAAAGAATTGTAAAGAGCAGAAAACAACAAGAGCGAAGATAGGAATTTACATTACGTGTTTGAATAAAATCCTTAATGATGAGAATGAGGAAAACCAGAGGCGTGAGACAGCACAGAAGTTGCTCAATAAATATCGAACGGTAAGTTTTGTTTTATTAATAGTATAGAATGATTTGGTGGCGTGACGAAGACCTTTAAGCTCCTCGTCATTCAAGTCTTTAAGCCGAGCCACGAAACTAGTTTTGGGGCACAGGTGACCTTTATGCTCGCCTGCTGTTCAAGCCTTTATGCCGACTCAATTCTGGTACCACTGGGGCACAGGTGACCTTTATGCTCGCCTGCTGTTCAAGCCTTTATGCCGACCTGGTGGACAGAACTTGTGGAAACAGAGAACATATTGACTAAGAATGTTACTAATTTTCCAAGCTTTCATGCTAGGGTGATAAAACTGACCGAAAACTCGCCAAGAATTGGGAGTTGAATCGTGAACCGGAGAAAATACCATCGTTTAACATTTACAATACATTTTCGGGAGGTACTCAAACGATTGGAACCGTCAACGACAGAACTTTCATTACTGGGTCGTCTAAAAGAGTAGATCACGAAAAGGTACAGATTATCTAGAAATTGATAATAAATGAAACTAATTTTGCATTTCTTTAGGATGATGATAATCAGACTAAGCAAACAAAGCGAGTACTTTTTCATGAAAAGGGATCATCAGGAAAAGGGGTCTGCATACTGTATAACTTAAATTTTGTCTGCAAAAAACATCTTTAACAGAAGATAATCGAGTTAATTTTTTTAGAGGGATATATTGCCTAATGGGACGAAAATTAAAAAGCCAGCTCCTTTGAACCTTATACCATCGGATGAAGACTCCTCTGACGATGACGATTCCTCCCAAGTAGATGACTATTCCTCTCAAATAGATGATGATTTCCATCAAGCAGATTACTACGATCATGATGATGATAGCGATGAAGAAGACGCACCTACCCCAGAAGAATCTCTCAATTCCGTCCTTAGTGGCCCAAAGAATTGGATTCTTCCCTCCGGAGAAAACGTTGCAACATTATCACTAAGAATACATCCGCCAATGCGATGGCTATTAAAAGGAAGAAAAGATTATCAGCCGTAGAGAAAGCAATATTGCGCTATGGCGCATCACGAATAATTGATTTATCGGCGCACATGAAACAATGGTTTTCTCTCGAAGATAGAAGATTCATGATGAAAGATCACATGTCTTTATTACAAGTTCCCGACCTGACAGACGAAGAAAGTTCCTTTATCACAACTATCGAGAATGTACATGCATTGTTTCGAATTTGCTTGATTTGTATACACAAATATGCATGCTGAATAATTTTTTCTTATACAGATGGTAATCGAAAAAAGAATAAACGAAGCATACGAATTTTGCGTTAAAAAGTTTACTAGCTCTGACGCGAACAGCTATGTGCGCAAGATCAGCAAAATATATTTAGATTTGTTAGTACTTTATTCTACTATAAATTGCTTTGATTCTTTATTTTTTGTGATTTAATTCTGATAATTTTGATGCTTATAGTATTTACAGAAGCGAAGATGGTGATATGTTGGATCCTGCACACACTGAGATTGACATTATATTAAAAGCATGTTCATATATCGTTGAAGGCCTGAGGAAGAATCTGGTAGTAAAACAAAGATGGTTGGTATAAATGAAATTTGATAGTTTCGTATTCCAATTCTCACAAGTTACTTATGTTACAATTTTTGTATATTAAAATAAGGGGAGAGTCGTTCTGCCCATTGAGCAGAAACACGGACTATAAAAATGGTCGCAAGTGCGACGTGCGCTTCTTATCACCATCAGGAGTAGACCTTGGAGAATGGGAGTTTGCGTCAAATGCAACACCACAAAAGGCAATTGGCGACCGTTGTCGATCAGCTCGTATTAATCAGTCGATATTAAATGGTCTGTTGAATCACAACCTGACCAATGAACAGGCTAAGAAAATCAATGTTCCCTTTTTACAGATTGCGGGTACGAATGGGCAGATGTTAATTGAGGATTCAATTGAGGGTTTCTATGTTGTCTTTCCAGGTCCAAAGTTCGAGTTACCTACGAAACTTCAACATATCGAAAAATTGAAGTCCTCTATAAACATTATCAAGTCTGTCATGGTAAGCTTACAATTATGTTTGTTCAATGACATCAGAAATATTTGTATAATTAATCTATTTTAACATTTTACACAGGATATATATGAGCAAATAAGCGAAATCGTAGAAACTAAAGGAGGTACAAGTAATGCACTTGACAGTATTTTTGGTAGTGATGATCTTTATCTGAGTAAACCCGCCCATTGTAAAGCTGAACTTATTCATGAACCGTGGTGGACTCCCAAAAATAACAAAACCAAAGTTACTGACAACAAATGGCAAAAAAAAATTTGAGGGTTTGTGCGATTATTAATAACCTTAAGGGCATGTTTGTCATTCTCATACTCATTCTCTTTTTTTTGATTTGATTTCATTATTATTAGCTGACTATTAGAATTGCGCAAGCATTGGAACAAGCAATTTCAAATCCGCCTCGATAGTTAGAATAAGAAGCATCACATTATATCTATCATGTAATTTAGTGCAGTTTAGCGTAGAAATGTTATCATAAATAACTAATGTATTTTATTTTCCTATATTAATAAAGTACCTGGTAGCATTTCTATCATAACTACAATTTTTTCGTATGGGTGGGTGTATCGAATAATAAAATTATTCTTAGCAAAGTGATCGGCGTTCTGAAAAAGAACACGCACGTGATTTTTCTCTTGGTCGGAGTTAATGTTTTTAAGTGATAATTCTTCTATAATGTATAGTGAAAATACTATTTTCTTGAATCTGAAAAAAATCTTCAGTACTCGACTAGTCCTCGTTGATTTTCCAAGAGAAAAAAAATGATAGTTCGAATTAAAACATTTTCAGCATCATCTATATCAAAATTATGTTGGGAAGAGATTGAATGTAATAGCTAGAATGATCAAATAAGTGTTTTATAATCACTTGATTACTGCATCTGTGAATCTGTGAACTCGATGAGCTTTTACTGCGCAACAGTCATGTATTTTTCGCTGACCGATCGGTCAATGAGTTCTGAAAGTTTTATGGTTTCCTAGGACCTGCCCACATCGGGCCTAGTGTTCTTTTTACATGTGATAGTGCACCTTTTTTCTCATATTTGTGATACCTGCACTGTTAAATATAGTAAAAAACTGTGAACACATATCTAAGCAAACGACCCAGCATATCGTCAGGTGAACACATAGGCAGGCTGGAGAATAAATAACAGGGCAGATAGGAAAATCAATGTAGTGGATTTCTGGGACCATGCGGTCAGAAATATTCGAGGTTCTCTTTTAAAATTATCACATTTATATTCACACCGCTTATATATTCCATTCGCTACTTTTTTGCATGTTTTGCAATATAGGTGTGAATGGTGATTGCATTCGTCACAAACCTTACATCCATGCTTCCATCCTCTAAAGATATGCCACTTTTCGATATAATTTTGTTTGTTTTTATTTGTAAATATATTATTCTGATTT